ATCGATAATTCCAGAGAAATGTTGTTCTGCTAGTGAGAAGTTTTAAGATTCAAATGAATAAGGAACAGATGTTGGTGATGATATATCAAAATCACTGCAACTTCGACCTTGTTCTTTCAGCTTTCAATCGATTGCATAAAATGCCATTGCTTCTGCTATTTCAGCATCTACCTGTTGCATGAAGTCCTCGGCCATATGTGCTTTAAACGAATTCCAGAGGTCTACAGGTTTTGTTGGATTACAGTATAGAAGTATTACACAGAAAAGTGTTCTTAGCTGTTGTGGCATCTGGAAGATAACGGCTTCAGGCATGCATCTTTCATATTCAGTATGATCACGTAATAGACTTCGTCTTTTAGCAGCTTCAATAAATGTTTGACAGACTTGATCGTCCACTGTTTTGAGATCATCGAAACTACAGGCACCAGGAGTATATAACAGTAATAATCGAAGATGATAGCGTTCTACATCACTGGGGCTGACGGAGTACATTCTACCGATGACGTTTTCACCGTGTAGTCGATGCTTCCATGTTCCATTACGTTCAAAAACAAAGTGCTGTGGAATATCATGGTAAAGATATTGTCGAGTATCTGGATTTTTTGAATTTAATTTGAGTCAGGGTGGGGGTGTGGGTGTGGGTGTGGGTGTGGGTGTGGGTGTGGGTGGATGTGGGTGTGGGTGCCCGTGTGGGTGTTGGTGTAGTATTCGCTTCAATAACTCCTACCAACAGAGCACCCACACCCACATTCACACCCGCTTTTTTCGTTTTAAAATAAAACATCCAATATGTATACTGCCAAACAAAGCAAACCTACAAAATACAGATATCTTGAAGTATTTTTCTTTTCTATTTTTATCAAAACCTGAAGGTAGAATAAGAAAAGAGGTATTCGATGGATAGATGAATAAGGTAAAACACTGAACATTTAATGAAGATGAGAATATTTATTGCTCAGTTCATTCGTTATAATCAATCAATCAGCAGCAGTTGAGTTATTCAAGAATGCGAGGATAAAAGAAGGCCCTCATCTTCATGCATGCTTTCACATTCAGCCATGTACATGCAAATAGAAAAAAACCTTTTCTTATTTTTACAAAAGCAATACACTTTTTTCTCTTTTCTGTGTTGACGTTTTTCAAAAGTCCACGTGAATTGATAAAATGCGGGCGACGGTTTCAAGAGTAAATCAACATCTACTACTTGAGGATAGATGCATGTGAAGTTTTATTTGCATTTTTCTTCACTAATAGGTAAAGATAAATGTACACACTGTAGTTACATGAGTTAATATTCTGCGATTTTTAGTTTCGGGTTTGTAGCCAATTGTTCCGATGAGATCAGGATAGTGAGGAAGGGCCAACTATTTTTGGTTAGATAGGCAATTATAAAAATAACCGAACGTAAGGAAAACCCCTTTCAAAAGAATCCCTCATAATCCTTCTATGTGAAAGCCTATGTTTATTGATCTAGACACACGCTTAAAATACAGTAGTGAAGTTCTCAAAAAGAAAAGAATTTCATCTAACAGATCTGTAGGCAAAATGAATTAAAATAATCATTCAACGAGATCGACGAGAATATTTCACCATTCACAAGTTCTAGTAACCCTCTCGTCGTGGGGTCTGGGCATTACCCAAGATATGACTCACACGGCGATGTTCACGACACATTATGATATTACGAGCAGAAGATATATGAATTTTTTGATCTGTGATAATGTTCACATATATTTTCACAGAAAAGTGTTTATAAAAGAGTAGATTTTGCTCATGATTTCAGACGTCAACGAGACATAAAAATGATTTCTAGAGATTATTCTTAATGATGAGTATCTGATATCCAGGGAAACATTTTTTATATGCAGACGGTGCCTCACCCAAACTGATATAATAGCATTTCCGAAGCTTTGCTCGAAAAACTGAAGTTGTCTAGGCATAATGGAGACCCTGGAACTTCTAATATGAGAGGGGGAGGTGGAGTCTCCTACTTCGCTGATTGTCTCACTATGTTTAATTTCATTTAGAAATATTTATATATTAAGCTCGGTTAAATGGGAAACAAACCTGCAACCCAAAAGTCACCAACAACATCAGGCATACAAAGAAAATATTTGAACGAGCAAAATGTTTTGACATATTCCAAAGATAAGATTGTTCAAAATTTTATTCTCATTTGGTTAGATTCGACCATTGGTGATTCGGGAAAAGACTTCCAGTATACTATTTCTCAACTACGAAAAATCGTTAATTCAATTACACTATTTATTGACTCGGACGCATGTTGTAAATTCATTGAAAAGACAAGAGATGAACAAATATTTCTTATTGTATCTGGAAAACTCGGAAAAACATTAGTACCTCTTGTTCATAAATATGTTCGACTCGATACCATTTATATATTTTGCGGCCAACCATTACATCACAGATGGACAGAAAACTGGAAAAAGATACAACTTGTTTCCGATCAAATTGAACGCATTTGTCAATCGCTTGTAAAAGATACCTCGCAATGTGAACAAGATTTAACTCCAACTAGTATTCTATCGTCGAATGATTCATCGAATCAAAATTTAGCACAAGTCAATTCATCATTTATGTATTCACAACTGATAAAAGAAATTTTACTCGAAATGACCTATGATGAGCGAGCAATAGAGGTGCTTGTTGATTTTTGTCGAAATCGTTTCCAGGATAATCAACATGAATTAAAAATAATTGAGGAATTCCAAAAAGATTATCGCAAGTATTCACCCATATGGTGGTATACTCGTGAATGTTTTACTTATAAGATGCTTAATCGTGGTTTGAGAACTTTCAACATAAACATTATTTCTGTGATGGGCTTCTTTATGAAAGATATTCATCAACAAATTAAAGAAATACATTCGAAAAGATCCAATCGAATGGGGCCATTTATCGTTTATCGAGGTCAAGGAATGCTGAATGACGAATTTATTGGAATACGTAATAATATCGGTGGTCTACTTTCATTCAATAGTTTTCTTTCTACGAGCGACGATTTAAAAGTGGCAATGGAATTTGCACAAAGATCTGTTGGTCGACCTGGCAAAACTTCTGTTCTATTTGAAATAGAAGTTGATCCGACTTTAACATCAACTCCATTTGCGTCGTTGAATAATGTTACTTCTTCTAAAGAGAAAGAAAAAGAGACTCTTTTCTCGATGCACACCGTTTTTCAAATCGTTCAAGTCAAAGAGGACAATAATCAGATATGGAAAATCATATTGAAATTGGTGAGCAATAACAATTTACAAATTACACAATTAACTGAACAAATAAGACGGGAAATTGGTGAAGGAAGTGCGATCGATCGATTAGGTCGATTAATGATTGCATTAGGCGAACTCGAAAAAGCCGAAGCAATCTATGAACTATTATGTGAATTAACATCTGAAAATGATAAAAAAACCGTTGCTTGGATACGTAATCAATCGGGATACATTAAATATAAGCAAGAACAGTATTCGGAAGCTCAAGCATTCTATAAAGATGCACGTGAAATTCAAGAAAAAATGCGTCCTTCAACTGATATTGATCTAGCAGTTACTTATAGTAATATGGGTCTGCTGTATACAAACTTAAACGACACTTCTAACGCATTGTTATATCATCAAAAAGCTCTTGAAATACGAGAAAAAAATCTCAAGGTAAACCATCAAGATCTAGCTACTACTTATAACAATATTGGACTTGTATATTATCAAAGACAAGAATTTTCAACTGCTTTGTCATATTATGAAAAGACACTTAAAATCTATCAGCAAATTCTTCCAGCCAACCACTCTTGGTTGGCTACAACTTACAAAAATATTGGCCTTGCTCAAATATCGAAGGGAGAACACACGACTGGACTCGATAATCTTTGCAAAGCAATGGATATACGAAAAATGGTACTTCCGCCTAATCATCCATCGATAGCATCTATATGCAGTACCATCGGTGAAGTATATCGAGAAACAAAAGAATATCCGACTGCACTCAAATTCTATGAAGAAGCATTAGTTATTGAAAAAAATGCTCCTCAAATTAATTATTCAAGTTTAGCTATGACTTATTATAAAATATCTAGAATATTAAGTGAGCTCAAAAGACATGATAGTGCTGCGAAATATGCTGAACTTGCTGTTCAATCGGCTAGCAAGTCTTCAACACCAAGTGATAACGATAAAAAAATATATAAAGACAACTTCGAACGACTTCAAACAAAATTATCATGACTGCGTTTTATTGACACTATTTTTTAAAACGAGTGTAGGCATGGATGTAGATCTTCCCCTCATTCAAGCATGCACACTCGAAACTGGGATTTATTTTTAAATAAAAGGAAGCTATTTTGTATTTTTGCGCCTTGCTAAAAATGAATTCTACCTCAGACATATATATGATTTCGTTGTAATTTTTTGAATATACAAAATTGAGCAGACATAGAAGATCTATGTTTAAAAGTGACATATAAGTGATCATTCAAAATTTATTGTTCTCAACTGATATACTTATTGAGAGGGTAGATTATTAATAAAAATACTAAAATAATTATATCAAATTTGATTTTCATTACATTTTTACCTTAACCAGAGCTAAACCTATTTCAGCATTAGACTTCACAAGAATACAATGATAAAAATGACTCACAGTGAGTGCACGGCTCATATTTTTCTCTTCCTAACGAAAAAACAGATTAGAAAAAAATTTGATATAGTTTGATACGTTTTCGAGTAACGCATTCTTTTGATAATCATGCCAATTGAGTACTCAGGTTAATAATTCCTGCATATTCCAGCAGGAAAGTACCGGAAAAAAGGTAAGAATTTGTAGACAGAAATCTCTTGATCAAATCTGATGGACGGATTTTTCTAGTTACACTCGTAACCATGCAGAGCTCGTCACCAGGCATAATTACTGAATTCCTGCATCCATATTTCTTGGCCTGGTTATAGAAAATTTTGGATGATAGTTTAAATTTTTCCAATATATATGTTCTATGTCTGTCCGACTTTATGTGTCCGAAAAATACACGAAAACTCAGAATGGTCCGAAAGGGTGTGGGTGTGGGTATGGGTGTGCGTGCCCTTTACTTTGTCAAGCTACCTCCACATCCACACCGACCCGCTCCCACACCCACACCCGACAATACACGCAAGTGATGTTGAAGGATGAGCGTTCGCAAATGAAATAGAGTGAATGTGGGAAAACGATCGTATGATTGCTGGTCATAGGTGACTTCCATTTTTTGATTTTGTTATCATTTCACTGGGAAACAGTAATTGCCAGACATACGACGTGAAACAATAGATTGTTTTTGCGAAACTTCGACAGTTTCTATTAAAATCTATTCGCGATTCCTAATAGAATGGTTCCAATCCTGGGATTTTGGTTTGCTCGACCATAAAAGAAGGTCTGGGCGTTTTATTGATGAGGGAGGGGACGAGGACGGTGAGTAGTACATTGGTAGAAGCCACGAATCAATGAGCAATATAAATAGACTAGAGTATCATTTCATGTACGATCGACAATTCGACCAAAGAAGTTCATGGAAAGTTTTAGATCAGGTTTATAGAGACCGGATCGAAAGTCGGGTCTAAATCATATTATTTTTTATCTTTTCCAGTGTACTAATGATTCATCATGTTTTGGAAATTAATCTAAAATATTTTATCATGGAAAGAGAGAGAAAAAGTATTGCATCATACTTGCGAAATTACAGTGTTTGTATTGTTCTGTTCCGTACTTCGTGTATATATAAGCTTGCGTTCTATGCGTGCTTCTTTATTCAATCGTCTTTGTCTGGGAAAGAAAAACAAAATCATTGATTACCACAGTGAGTCTTCTGTTTGATTAGTATTTTAATCAAATATCAATAAATGCGATTTTGTCACATTTTGTAGAGTGACTATGACCAAAACTTATTTGTCAGATGATTCTAGAAGCCTGTTGTGAAGACAATCCTCCGAATTAAAAATCGATGATGTATTTCATTGGAATAGAAACAAAAGGAAAAATGACAATTTTCTCTATCAATCCTTTTGTTTCAGGTTCACGAAAGTGATGAACATTCATCAGCAAACAAGAAAAAACAATCACTCAAATCCACTACCAAAAAGACTTACAGGAAGAAAACTAACGTTAGAAAACGAGTAAACATGTCATGTATGAATGCATACGAATATAATCGATTGCTTTAGAAATATAATCGACCAAAAGCAAGCAATGGTTGTGGAAAACCACGAAGAAAAGGTGCTTATACAGGACTAAATGGAAAATATTGGATTGTAAGTGAGATAAATTCCGATCGAATCTGCAATTGTACAAGAAAAAACGTTTGTTGAACACGAATGAGATTGAAATCTCATTCATACTTTTATTTGTCTCAGTTCTAATTTTCTCGGTAAGGTTGCTATTTGAGATAGAGCACGATGATTTTCAATGTAAGTCTCAGTTTTGGGGAACGAGTTAACCATTATTTATGAACCATTTTATGTAAGCTACGACAGAGAATGTTCAATCAATGCTCTTAGACGTTACTCAAATTAAGATGTGGCGTACAAGAGATAAATGTAAGATATTTCGCGCACGACGTTTCAAAAAATATTCAATTTTCGATTTTTTATGATCTTTTTACGAAAAGCCCCCAAAATGAATTGTAAATTTGTTCCATTTTCTGTATAGTGTGAAAAGTACTGGAATATTGGAGCAGATAATTTGTACAAGTGTCAAGCACCATAGCATCAACTGTTCAAACCATCCCTGAGCATGAGTCTAATCAATATTATTTCGTTAGAGTTGTGCGATTTGCATGTATTAAACAGATCACGGTTCCGAGTCCTGTTCCGGAGCTGAGCAACTTTTCCGAAATAGAGAAACCAGAAATGATATTCTTGTCGGAAAAGGCAAGATGAAACGGCGAAAAAACTCCTTCGAATTCATCGTGTGGAGTCTGCAGTATTTGGTTTCTGTTCTGAATACTTTTGAGAAAACTGTAGCGTGTTCGATAGGGCAGAGCGCTAACAAAAAAGTGAAGAGTGAAGTCCAACAACTCAAGGCCGCAGCACGTAGAGTAGAACATTTATTTTAGCTCTACTCTCGGTGTCTTGATGTGAACTATTTTAAAAAATAGTGGAATAATACGTTGTCTTGCATGATGTAATGCTAATATTTTTTTGTTTTGACCTTAATTGCAGCAGAAAAGCACGGCGAGACGCGTCTGCAACCCTGTTACCGATCAGAGAGAAGTTATTGGTGCACGTTTGTACGATCAGCATGGAGATCCTACAGGAGCAAATTACGACCTTGGTCGGGACGGAGCTTTTACTCGATATTGTGTCTTAATTGGACAGTTTTATTCCGGTCATCAATTTTCGGATGTAGCCATGCAGAAACCGATCGATGCTTTAAAGGTCAAAGGTTTTCAAGTGAAACATGTGAAGCACGAAACTGAATTTTTGTCGGAATTAAGTACAAATCGTTATCAGATAGTTTGGGCTGTCAGTACAAGTTCTATTCAAGATGTTACATTCGTTACAGCCTTAACAAAGTTTCATGCATCAGGTGGAGCAATTTTTCTGTTCGCCGACAATACATCCTATGTGAGTCATGCGTCCGAGTTTCTCAATCAAAGATTTGGCATCACTCTAATGGGTTGTTTCAATGGACAAAAGACGCTCACATATAGAGAGAAAGGTCATTTAGAAACCGGGCATTTCGGCCAGCATGATATATTCACTGGAATAACAAATCTGTATGAAGGACACACTATTTGCCAACCTGTCTATTCGACGTCGGCCAGTCGTTCCGCGTTTGTGATTTTGGAGACATCGACCGACGGCAATCCGAGCATCGCTGTATTCGATCCGTCAGTAGCATCAACCGAAGGACGTTTGTGCTTGGATTGTGGTTTCACAAAATTATACATGAACTGGGATGACGCCGGCACGGCACGATACATCGTGAACGTTACCTGTTGGCTTGCCGTGATCGGTGGACATAATAATCTATAGAAGAAAAACAAGACAAATGTGTCAAATTTTTATTTGTACTTCAACTATTATCTAAAGTTAATAAAATTTTCTTTACGAGTGAATTGTACATAAATTCAATGATTCATTTTCAGATTTCGGGCTTAGAACAACAATAGAATTTGATCGAACGCCCAGACAACAACCCTTTTAGAGTAGATGAGCTATTGGATAGAGTGCATGAACGATTTTGAAATAGAATTATTAATATCTCTCTTCGCCTGATCGTAAAATTCTTTGAAATCGCTGCAACACTCAATACCTCGACATTGACCCATAAGAACTGTGATCCCAACGATTTGAGTCGTCATCCTGACGACAAACCATCGTGATCTCGACTGTCTGTCTACCCGATCAATAGTAATAATCGATCATTGCGCGTGTTATGGTACGATACTTTCCCTTGGCTTGAATATTCACAAAATATCGACGCGGTTTTTGTCAAGTGTGCCGTCACTTTGCTCCAAGATGGGACCACGCAGCAAAATACAAAATGGATGCAGTCAGTTATCAAAATTTATATGTAGAAGACCCAATTGCAAGTCTTCACTTATCATGTTGTAGTTTATCAAGGGTGGCTTACGTTCATGGAAAAAAGCAATAAAAAAGGGATGAGACTTGCAAGATGATGAGAGTAGCGCCTTACATGTTGTCACTATACAGAACAAAATAAAACGAGACAATAGGGGCGATGTTAGTTGTAGTATGATAGAGGGTGTGGGTGTGAGTGTGCGTGTAGGTATTCTTCCCTTACACACCCACGCCCACACCCTAAAAGTATGTGTCATCAACCAACCTTGCAAAGACAAAAAGGTGAGTAAAAGAAATGGAGTTGACGTTGTTGGATACTACGGTACAGAGACTTCCATTCGAGAAAACAATGTAACGTAGGCTGTTACTTAAGCGTGGGCGGGTGACTAAGCAGCTATGGCTAGTTTCACCTCAGCTACGAGGATCTCCGAATGGCTTAGGGTGTGGGTATGGGTGTGTCTGGGTCTGAGTGGGTCTGAGTGGGTATTTAGAGAATCAAGAAGAGAACCACCACATACACTCACAGCCACGCCACCCACACTAACACCCTCTTGCGTGAACCAAGCAGCAGTGGACAATTGAACCAGTCGATGGGGGAAGTTGCTTCACTTTATGGGAAAATGCTTGACCCCACATAAAGTCATATATATCAAGGAGAAAAGAAAAGAAAGAATAAAAAATAATATACATATATATATGTACATAAATCTCTTATATGATACTGTACATATACTCGAATTTAGAGAGAAATGCTTTTTCTCTCAAACTAGAAACATTCCCTAAGTTCAAAACAGCAAATTGATTCATTTCTCTCTCACCCTTTCCCACTTCTGTTTGTGAATAGAGATATGGATGGAGTAGTTCTCCTTAAAAAATAACCATTTGGAATAGAAAAAATATATTTCTACAAGAAACACTTCTTACGGTGAAAAAGTAAATTGGACCATTTTTCTGTCACCGTTTTTCACCTTCGCTTGTGAATGGAGACATGGATGGAGTAGTTCTCTTTGTTATTATTCGTTTTCTCTTGTAGTGATGTGGTCGAATAAAGGTAGTGTATTTGTGAAAAAGTGTTTCTTTCTGACTTTATGTGGTTGAAGCATTTCTGCTTGACGTGGAACAATTTCTCTTTGATAGGGGAATATGATCCAGCCCTCGAACTCAGATATTCGATTTTTAAAATATTTCCTGTGTATGTGATGCGCCTACAATTAAAAATTTCAGCAATGACTGTTTTTCTTTTTTTTGCAATGGTCAGATAGAAAACATTGAGACACACAAGAAAAAGTAGTTTACAAATATGAAAATAAAGTTCAGAGAAATCGATGAGTTTCTATCTAATCATTGCGAAAAAAGAAAACAACGTTGTTGAAATTTTTAATTGTAGGCGCATCACATGCATTGTAAATACTTCAAAAAATTGAATATCTTGGTCAAAGATGTGAGTGGGTTTGCTGAAAATAACAAAGCCCACACTCCGACCCTGTTTCGCTTTTTTCTTTTGAAATGTCAAATTATGTCTATAAATAGTGTGAACAAATATATTTTAGTATCATCTATTATTTGGTGAGAAAAAAAGCTTTGAATTTCATATTCCAATCGAAGTACTCATTATGTTTAAACGTTTTTGCAGATTAAACTATAAAACAAGAGATAATATTACCTTAGTTTGCTAGCAAATGATTGATTAATCAATAGTGAACACAATAGATGGCAAATTGAATAATAATAGTTTTTGTGCTATTAAAATGTTTAGTATTATTCATTTTTTTCAAAATATCTAAGTTTTCTTTGAAATCATAAAATAAAAAAGATAATCAAAAGAAGCAGAAGTATTTCTATATCTTTTTAGATATAACGAAATAGAAAATTCAAATTTTATTCATTTTATTATTAATGAGATTTCCTTCTTTTCGGATGCATAATATCATTTGTGAATCTTTTTTCAATGAATTATCTCTCTCTGATTAATTTTTATTTTGTTTTTATTCAACGTTTCGAACGATAATATCGTTCTTTTTTAGAAGAAATTTACAAATAGGAATAGAAAAGACGCGAATGAATATTCTAGCAAAATTGGTCGTATTTGAAAATTGAGGGTGTAGGTATTGACATCTCTTTCATCCATACCCCTTGTTGAATTTGTTTTGAGCTCATTAGTGCGTAACGAACTATTTGCTGATTCAATCAGTTGTTTTGAATTTATTTGGAGTAACTGCTGTTTCTTTTGGATTTAATTGAACATAAATGATTTTGTGCAAAGTTATTTAAGGTCACATGATGAAATCTTTGAGCAAGATCGAAACGCGTCGTGATAGCTCATGAAAGTTCTTCAAAACAAATAATTTTGTTGAATTTTTTTTTCTAAATTCATTCTCATTCACCTACCCCATCTTCAAAGAAGCAGTGTTCTCGTGTAGCAACAAGAGCTAAACTGTTGTTTCTTAATCACTATTGTTCTGCCATGTACTTCTTTTGACTGAATGTTAAACATGCAGTTTTATTTAAGACTAGAGAGAAAATCAGATAGAATAACCGTTCAAACAGCCGACCAGTAATCAGAAGATGTAGATTCGATTCATGTTCTGATTTCGTGATACTCGTTCAATAAGTCGTTCATGACTATTGAGGCATATCCACTGCGGATGCATTCTTTCGAAAATAAGGTACGTTTGTCGCGAATGGATGAAATGATTCGGTAGATTTTAACTCTTTATTCTTCTTTTAAATAAACTCACTCATCATCTTTCAATGAGTATTCAGTATCAACATTAGTTATGCGTTTAATGGAAATGGCAATCCAGTTTAATGGATAACTTTAGAAATTATGACACTCTATCGACATTGTAAATGGTAAAATCGTCCGAAAATACAATAAAAAGGAACTTTTCGCTTCCCAGGTAGACAAGATCTTTAAAAAGCACGGTTAAACGAAATATTATTGTCAAAACATGTTATCTGATCTTCAGCCTGTTAAAACACGTTTGCAGGACTAGATATATTTTAATGGAGTAATATGTTAAAGACAACTTGAATTATTTTTTCTTCTTTGGACACTAGTGTACCAATATTGATGTCACACTCCAATGATCTGCCTTTTCTCTTTCTTCTGTCCTATATAAGCATGTGTTGTATGTGAAGTAGTTACACTCTGGAAATGTAAAATAGCTAATAAACATAGTTACCGAGGGTGGCGGTAAGCTACTTCTCCAGTTTGTCGCTACATGACGACTCTGACAGATAGTTGTTGTTACAACTAGTTCACTGAGTTCAATAGTGGCTCACAGTAGCATGCTTATTTGACAGAATTAAGATTTTTAATATGAACGTATCGTGGATGCGGGAGAGTGCAGGTGTCAATGGAAGAAATAAGAACACCGTATTCATACTCACAAATCTGCGGTGGAAATGGTGTCGGAACAGGAGCGAACCCGTGAATCATCCATCGAGATTAGCACACTAGCAATATGGTCATCTCTATGTTATCGATCACAATGACGATCGAATTTAACAATTCAATATGGAATCAACTTGGTAGTTTTGCTTTTGTTGATAATCGATTTTGACAGCTTATAGAGATCTGTATTTAAATCACGGTATCAAATTATCATTTTGTATTTTTATTTCGCAAATGTTTCGATACTAAACGATAAAATATTAGAATTCAACTCGATTAGCTTCACATTCAATTTTTGAAAGCACACAGAGCTCACTTCGAAATTTCTTTGTCACGAAGTTCAACTGATGTACTTTACTCTACTGATCGTGTTGAAGATATCAACAAACTGATCTCTCGATCTTGCTAATGATAATCTTCAAAGAAAATATTTTGAATGGTCAAGCTTGTTCTTTGTTGTAATCTATAGTTGACTTCGTATTTTACTACATGATACAATAACGTGATAAATAATGTTTTAATAATCGATGAAGACTTAGTTGGCACACCTTAGAGTATTAGATTCATTTCATTGAGTGTGAGTGTGGGCATAGGTGTTTGTTTTTTTCAAACAACAGATACCCACATAAGCATTTACACTAATCGACACCCACACCCAGAAAAAAATCGATCCCTCTAGGAAAAGAGACATATCAGAAGGATACTTTTGAGTGCTCCGATGAAAGCAAATCTGTCACAAAAAATAGTTCTACTACTTGTCAATGATCTTATCATTGTTATTTTCTGTTCAGTATATATTCCATCTTAGTTTCATAATTTTTCAGTAATATTTACTATCCACTGATTAAAACCATGCTAGAACACCACCAGCTTTCTTGATCAAGTCGCAGTCATAATGAATTTTCACGTTTTGAAATCTTAAAATATTTCTAAATATTGATTTCATGCTTCATAATACAAATCGGTTGATTATCACATGTCATATTTATTAAATAAGCTCTTTATACAGCATCCCAAAATTCAAAATAAAATTATTCAATCAGCTAGATATATGAAAATGGTTTTTTTCTTGATAGAAGAATGTTACTTTCAATCTCCAAAAGTTAGAAGAAAACGAAATTTTCGAAGTATTATGTTTTTATGCATTGAAAAAATGATTTTCATAGAAGAATAATGATTCATATTTTGTTTAGATCTTCCACGAAAGTTAATCTTAAGTTCCCGTGTTCAAATCTCCTTCTCCACATGTACTCGATAGGTTTTTGACGTTTCGAAAATGAGACATATATCGAACAAAAATCTTTATTTTGACTATTGATACCCAACGGAAGCTGAAATCAACAAGGTCAAAATGTTCATCGAACGGCTAGTTGAAAATATCGATTCTTGAAAATTTGTAATCTGATTTTATCTTCATTGTTCAAGCAAATCAATATGAGACCTTAAGGCATTTATGAATTCTACCATTTAATAATCATCATCAACAACAATTTTTTTAGTTTAAACAGAGTAGGAACGGCTTTTATTTCGCAGACGTGTCAGTCTTAGGTATGGTTTTTCTTGTTTTTGAATGTTTTCAAGCTCCACAAGGTTCTTTGCCTTTGCATCCATATCCAGCTTGTCCATCACATGCATAAACAACAAATGTTTGTACTGCATATTGCCAATTGTATCCACCACCGTTTGCAGTAATTGCGTATGTGCAACAACCGTAATCAATAAAAGACATGTCAACTTGTTGTGATTCTTGCCAATTTTCTTTATCGAAAATAATTGTATTGAATTTAGCACATTGTGTACCATTATAAAACCAATTTGGTGGCACTTTAAATTCAACTTTGAGTTGGTCACCAAGTGAATGAACTGGTGGTGTATTTAATTTTAATGTAAAATGATCTTGACCTTTTGGAGTTACAACAAATCCATGATATGGTTCTATTGTAAAACCTAAAATCAATCGAAATATAACAACACAAGTAAGGTTAGATAAGATAATTGAGAACTATAGTTTACCTGTGTTTGCATTGCCACAATAAGAGGGCCATTGATCAGGTAAATCAAACAAATGTTCAGCTGCTGATGGAATACCTTGCGTAAATAATAAATAAACGGTACTTATGTATCTATA